TGAAGTAAATATCGATTTATACGAAGTTGACCAAGGTAAATCGAAAAATGTCAACCTTTATGACATCTGTCAAAATCCTGCCAACTCATATTTTTCAGTTTTCAATATTTCATAAAATGTCATTTGACATTGTTAACTTATGTGAATTCTGGGTTCAAAAATTGAAAAAAAAAAAAATCCAGAACTATCAAAACCTGGCATTTATTTTAGCAGGAAAAAATATGTCTGGCTCTTTTTTGTTTTAGGGTATTTTATGGGTGATAAAACATTAAACAAAGCTCGTAGACATCAGATTTTACATGGTTTCTGAAATATTGCAACACAGCGTTTTTGTTCAAAAGTCTTAGAACGGTCAAATATTTCCATAGCGGCTTGAAATAGAATTACGAAATTTTCTGAATATGGGTACCTAATTAATAATGCCCGATTCAATGATGACATCGAGAATGATGCCAAATTTACAGGTTTTCAGATAGTGTAGGTAACTTCGTTTTTTTTTTTAATAGAAATATCACCTTATTTCTAATGCAATTTTGGCACTCTACTGTAAGTGAAACCTCCTGATATCAAATCCCCATTTCAAGTAGTTTTTGAAATGTGGCAACACAGACTTTTTGTTCAAAAGTTAGAGAACGGTGGAGTATTTTGACACAGGCTTAAAATAGGATATTCAAAATTTGATGAAGAGACGTTATTGTGATGCTCAATTTCAATGATGGCATCAACAAATATCAAAATATCGATACGCTGGGATTCACTCAGTTCGAAATTCATTTTGACAAAACTTTGAAGGAACTTGACACATCTGATAAATACCTCTACCACTGGATAATAAACAAATGAATATCTAAATTTTTAGTTGTTTAGCCTACGTGTATTCTTTCATGTTATTGTTTCGACAAATTGTCAAACAATACAGGGAGAATCAGGTAGATCAGGTATGAGTACAAAAATTTTAACATGAGATAATATGACCTATTTTAAGCTAAGACTGACCTATCAAGGCTACTAATCATGAGTCAATTGATACTATTTTCGGAATTATCGCAAAATTTAAATTTAAAAAAATGTTAAGAACGTGACAACATTGTACAGATCATCTCTACCAGGATATTAGGTAAATAAAACTGGTAAATTCTAATTTTTTGCAAGCATTTCATTTATTTCCACCTGTTTACGTTTTGATTTGTTATTCGCTTTTAAATAATGTAAATAATAATTTGCATTTTTATCACTTTTCTAGTAAAAATAAAAAAATGTGCCGTTTTATTAAGTTATGAATTGAACTCAATGACATTTTTGCACTGAACATTCAAGAGAAAAAAATTTACACACTTACACTTGCCATATCACGCAATCTTTGTAAACGGCCCAATATTCTTTCATCAGATGGGTGCCCTTCTATTGGGAAATCTTTCCCTGTAAATTCTGGCGGCTAAATGAGCATTTTGCAACAATTCTACCTTAACAAGTATCTGCATATTCGAGGTTTGTGAAGTGAACATTTTATTTCACAACCACCTATTCTTTTTTGTGCTATGTTGCCAACTGTTTAGACACCGAATTACGAGTGAAGGTGTCATGTTTTTTCAATTTTTTATTATTGTTGTTGACTAAAAATGTATTATTACTTGATAATTGAATGAGTTAATTTTTTTTTTGATCTCATAATGATTAAAATTTTCTTTTCTTTTTCTTAAAAATGATTTTGTTTTGCTTGGACGTCATGTTGTAACTTTTTTTCTTCAAAATAGGCCATATTTTCAAGTCTTAAAACTTTTGTAGTCAAAGCTGATACACCCTGTATAAAATATCAATTTATACTCGACAACCAGTTTTTTTAGTAATATTTTCTCTGGTATTATTAAGATAGACAGATAAAATATTTTCCTGGAGTGATATTTTCTCAAATCTCGAATTGACCCCTAGAAAATGTAATCCTACTTTTAGTCGTTTTAAAAATTTGACCGTTCCTAGACTTTTGAACAAAAAGGCTGTGTTGCAATATTCCAGAAACCTTGTTAAATAGGGACATGATATCAAGTTGTTTTAATAACAATAGAGCGCCGAACTTATTGCAATGAAAATAAAGTGGTAGTCCTATTCAAAAAAATGAAGTTACCTACATTATCTAAAAACCGGTAAACTTGGCAACATTGTCGATGTTATCATTGAATCGGGCATCATTAATCACCCATATGCTGAAAATTTCGTAATTCTATTTCAAGGCGCTCTGGAAATATTTGACTGTTTCCAGACTTTTGAACAAAAAGGCTGTGTTGCAATATTTCAGAAACCGTGTAAAATAAGAACATGATATCAAGAGGTTTTAATAACCATAGAGCGCCGAATTTACTGCAATAAAAATAAAGTGGTATTCCTATTAAAAAAACGAAGTTACCTACTTTATATGAAAATCAGTAAACTTGGCAACATTGTCGATGTCATCATTGAATCGGGCATCATTAATCACCCATATGCAGAAAATTTCGTAATTTTATTTCAAGGCGCTCTGGAAATATTTGACCGTTCCCAGACTTTTGTATAAAAAGTCTGTGTTGCCATATTTCAGCAACCGTGTAAGATAGGGACATGATATCAAGAGGTTTCAATAACAATAGAGCGCCGAACTTATTGCAATGAAAATAAAGTGGTAGTCCTATTTAAAAAAACGAAGCTACCTACATTATCTGAAAACCGGTAAACTTGGCAACATTGTCGATGTCTTCATTGAATCGGGCATCATTAATTACCTATATGCAGAAAATTTTGTAATTCTATTTCAAGCCGCTCTGGAAATATTTGAGCGTTCCCAGACTTTTGAACAAAAAGGCTGTGTTGCAATATTTCAGAAACCATGTGAGATAGGGACATGATATCAAGAGGTTTTAATAACAATAGAGCGCCGAATTTATTGCAATGATAATAAAGTAGCATTCTTATTCAAAAAAATGAAGTTACCTACATTATCTGAAAACCGATGAACTTGGCAACTTTGTCGATGTCATCATTGAATCGGGCATCATTAATTACTCATAAGCAGAAAATTTCGTAATTCTATTTCAAGCCGCTCTGGAAATATTTGAGCGTTCCCAGACTTTTGAACAAAAAGGCTGTGTTGCAATATTTCAGAAACCGTGTAAAATAGGAACATGATATCAAGAGGTTTTAGTAACAATAGAGCGCCGAATTTATTGCAATGAAAATAAAGTGGTATTCCTATTTAAAAAAACGAAGTTATCTACATTATATGAAAATCGGTAAACTTGGCAACGTTGTCGATATCATCATTGAATCGGGCATCATTAATTACCCATATGCAGAAAATTTCGTAATTCTATTTCAAGCCGCTCTGGAAATATTTGACCGTTCCCAGACTTTTGAAACACACTGTATTGAAAACTGAAAAATATGAGTGCGGCCGTGTGGCAGGAGTTTGACAGATGTCAAAATGGTTTACATTTCACGATTTACCTTGGTCGACTTGGTAAAAATCGATACTTACTTCATCAAAATCAGTTACCTTGCTTTTCAATTATCAGATTCCAATATTTGACAGCTGATACCGCCTTACTTGTCATATCTGATGACTCTGGATTTCTTGAATGAATAATGCTAGATTTAACAATAAAAATTAGGGTTTCATAATGTTCAAGAAATTTCTTGTTGTTCACTTGAATTCGAGACAAGTCAAGAAATCTGAAACCGTTTTCAAGAGAAGTCAAGATTATCTATTTCAAGATCAAGATTTCTTGTCTAGAAACCAAGAAATTCTTGGAATTAACAGTTTTATAAATGGCTGTAATAGTAGATTAAAATAAAAGTTGCTAACTGCCACAATAACCTTCGGCTATAATCGGGATCCCATACTCCCATAATGTATGAGGGTATCTCATTCCTATACAAGCTATTAGAATAAGACACGAATACACTCGGTGCGCACTAACCCTTCCAATAGAAAGGAGTAACAAGAGTACATGGTCACGGAGTAAGAAAGCCGAACTCCAGATGATCATAATTGAAAAAATTTGAAGCTTTGGAACTGGATTGGAATTATTCAGTAGAGATTTGTAGAGAATTTAATTGGCTTCAAATAAAGCCTAATTACATTAGGAACGGATTGAAAACAACACAGTTGTGAGGCAAAATGTGTGTTGGTGTCATTTTGGGAAAGTTCAGATTTCGAAAAAATTACATTGAGGGACGTTTTATTTTTTTTTTAAGGAAAATGTTCGAAAGAATTTATTGAAGTTTTGCAATTTGATAGAGGAAAGGTCGAAATTTAGAAAAAAAAATTAAATTTCTTCTTCTTTTCAAGCAATTTCAAGATATCTTGAATTCTTAAGACATGTTCAATTTCTTGATCTTGAATTATAAGTCAAGAAATTACGTTCAAGTCAAGATTTCTCGTTTTGATGAAACTCTAATAAAAATGTAAAGATCTTCTGAGAGTCTTCTTTCACAAGTAGGTACCTAAGTACTAGGAAGCTTTGTGAACGAAAAAAAAGTACTTAGAGCATAGGATTTTCAAGATCAGATCTATGAGTTTACTTAACCATAATAAAACAGATAAAGAGCACAAGAACGACTCATGATCTTACCTAAGAATCTAAGCATCTAACAGGATCCGAAGAATTTTCTAAGCAAGTGACTATAAAGAATTTGCAAAGTAGGTATAGTGTAAACTAGCCCCTGAAGAATTCATAAAATTCATAGAATTATGATCTCGAAAAAAACCTATTCCACCACTGACACGAATCAAATTCCTCCTTTCTCTAATTGACTATTATTGCAATTTGACAAGCAGTACCTACCAACTACCTCTTAACAAAAAAATAAATTTATATGGCAAATGTATAAGCAACACTTTTTCCTACCACAACTAGAGCAAGATTTGAACTTTCCAACAAAAAGTACAAAAATTGCGGTTATTAAGAATGATATGTAGTAGTTTGTAGATTTCAGTCAATTTCGAATGAGTCAACTGTAGAGTGAGTGCAAATTATTGGCACAAACACCAACCGAAAGCGTTTTTTGGCACTCGCCCTGCAGTCGCCCTTCGAGACTGTCAGTCCTCGGCCGTTCCTTCGTTAATTTCGGTGACGATCGGCCCCGGAGGGTCGCTAGGGGGGAGGCGCAGCAAATGCTATGCTTCCAGAAATATCAGAGCAGTTGGTTTACGTTCCATGTTGCTCTTTTTTGCCTCAATTACCTATAAAAACAATTCAGTTTTAGTCTAGTAGTTCAATTCCAAATTAATGATGTTTTTTTATTGGTGCAGATAATTCAATTTTTTAACTTGTTACTGCAGATTAATTTGTATTAATTTGGAATAAAGTTATTACCGTAAATTCAATATCGTTACGATCCCTTCTCGCAAAACTCTCGGCAATTAATCTTGCCACATCTTGATGCTGCAAGCCTTCGACTTTGGTACCGTCGACAGACAAAATTAATTGTCCGACTTCCAAGCCTCCGCAAAAATATGCCGCGCCATTTTCCTAGGGGAAAGAAAAAATCGTCTGGTTTATTCAGATAGAAAAAAAAAAAAAAACGATCGGCCATATATTAATGACCGTTTGGCAGTTAAAACGCAAATGCTGCGACGGCGAGGATTAAGTGTACGATTTATTTAGTGGTACCCCGTGCAGATCAAGGAGATCTGCTGAGTAATAAACTAAAGAGGCACGCTAAATGTAGGCTAGTCATTGAAAAAGAAAAAATGGGAAAAGTTTTAAGACTTGAAAAACTAATATTTTTTCAAAAAGTTGCAATGAGACGAGGCAAGAGATCGTCAAGATAGATGATGTGAGATCGTTTTTGTCGTATCGTTTTCCCGAAAATCTATAATCAGTTGATCTTGTAGACAGGGATGCTATCAGCACTAAAAAAATTGTACCAGAAAGTAGGAAATAATTGTACTAGATTGGCGACATATATTTAGTTATAAATCGACTACCGATTACCATGATCCGCTGAATAACCGAATAACGACCGATACATGACACACGTCAAGTCACAGAATAAAAAACTACCCCACCATCTAATTCTGGGATACTCTAGGATCAAGAGCACTATAATTTGTTCTGTGAGAACAGACCGAAAAATCACCTTTTCTACATTTGAAATCGACGAAAAAATTAACCCACTAGCATAGCTTGAATCGCAAGCATTCGATCGAGGTCTGCGGGTGACGTCATCGCTATTTTCTGCTGGTAGTGACGTCACTCGCAGGCCCAGAATTTGATGGAGAGGGAGTTAGGGAAGTATGACACAATTGACACATCACATAACCCAGCATAATCAGATTATGCTTGAATATCCTACTAGAAATTGCATCCCTGCTTGTAGATCTTCCAACATCACCAAGAGGAGAAGAAAGGTATAATGGCCCTCTAACCTACGGAGACGTCTCTAACTTTTTTTGTCTTTAATATTTGAACGTCTCTAAAAGGTTTCAAATTCATTTTTTCCATCAATTTCTCGAAGAATTTGCTCTTATCTTGTCTTTCTTCTCCCCATCTCTTGGAGGAGTTTGAAGTTTGGTAAAATTTCAACATCTCTGCAAACGATTCTCAAAGTCTTTGTCTTTCAACGTCTCTAGAAAGTACTCAGAGTCTTTCCGTCTTCAATTTTTCAGCATCTTTAAAAGTTGCTCAAAGTATTTTCATCTACAACCTTTCAACGTCTGTGTAAGAAAATTGCAAAAGGTTCTTTTTTAATTTCTTTTTTCAATTTTTCATTTTTTTTTTGGTCCATTTTCTTCCAAATTTTAAGAGGCGTTTCCATATTTGCTGCTGGAGTTTCTCAGAGTTTTTTCGTCTTTCAACGCCTGTAAACGATTCTCAGAGTGATAAAGTTTCTGAGGCTTTCGCGGCTCAGGTTTATTGATAAGGAGTTTTCATTCGGGCTTAATGGCCGTCGTAAGTTGGAATTTCTTCCTGACATTTCGCTAGCACGCATGGCTAGCATCTTCAGAGGTGCTTCCATGTCCGATTCTGGTAGCAGACTGACGCGTTCCCGACCGTAAGTTGTATTTATGTGTGAGTGGCTGTAGTGGGAAAGGGGCGGGGCTTCGCGGCTCGTGGCTAATCTCAACTTTCTCTGTACTCAATGGAATCTTTCTTGCGTTTTTGAGGATCGGGTTCCAGATTTGCTTAAGTTTTAGTGTTTCTTGTTTCCTGTTGAAGTTCTCCGTATGTTTGTGGATTTCTATATAGCTTCACGTACATGACGATTGTTGTATACGGAAGTCGGTGCAAGAAACTTGATCTCACCAAAGAGTTTTTCTTGATTCCCTTCACTAAGTGCATGTTCTGCAAATGCCGATTTTTCCGATTGTCCTAGTCTACAGTTTCTTTTGTGCTCGTTTATCCTGGTTCCCATGGATCTTAAAGCCAATTTTTCTATCTTTTTGCTCAACACTCGATCAGCGAGAGAACTATCTGTTCTGCTGAGTGATCTGAATATGCCATCTTTCGTTCTTCTCACTGAACATTGGCTAAAGGAGGATGAACTGTACTATCTACCCGAGTACAGTATTATCTCAAAGTTCTGTAGAGCCGAAGGCTATGGAGGCACCATTATATTAACACATGACAGTTTACTAGAAAGGTACAATGCAGAAAATATCGATAAACATGGAATCATTCTTCAAGAAAATAAATTTGAATTTAGTATAGTTTATGTTAAGGAACTTGATGTTTGGATTGTTTGTGTGTTTAGGCCTCCATCAGGTAATCCCCTAGAATAAGGTTTTTGGAAACTTTCCTTTCGAAATTTCCGATAACTGCAAAAATTATATTAGCAGGCGATCTAAATATTGACTTTGATAGTAAGGACTCCAGCGTTACGAAATCTTTAATAAACTTATTAACATGTTTTAATCTTCACACTTTTGTGAATGAACCCACACGTATTACTAACCACTCAGAGACAACAATCGATTATATCTGCAGTAACATCGATGAGGGTGATATTATTTGTAGAGTAACTCCATCAGGTCTTTCTGATCATGAGGCTCTATTTTCAGAAGTGGTGCTACATCATGACGAGCAAAAAAAGGTGACAAGGGAGTCTCGAATCTTTAGCACAGCAAATTATAGAACTTTTCGAAACGAGGCGGAAACAATTAACTGGGGCAACATTAAAGATTCGGCAAATCCAATTACTACATTCCAAAAAACAGTTCGAAATATTTTTAGCCGAAGCTTTCCAAAGCGAAAAATTAAAAAAAAAGAAAAGAAAGGTGTGGGTGAAAAGAGGTATTAAAGTATCAGGTAAAAATCTTCGCTCTTTCTACACAATAAAAAAAATTATAAACTCTGACTGGTTTGACTCATACTTTACTGCATATCGCAAAATTTATAGAAGTCTAATAGGACTAGCAAAGAAATATTATTACAATGAAAGGGTAGAAGCAGCGGGTAATTCTAGCAGGGAGTATTGGAAAATAATAGGCGAAATGAGGGGAAAACACAACGGAATTGCAACAATCTGACAATAAATCCGACAGATCTTAATCAGTTTTACTGCACTATAGCGAGCAAGCTGACAGATGGCATTGCGCGAAAGAAGGATCCACTAAGTTACTTATCAAAGTACCTACCCTTCTACTGAGACATTCAGGCTTAATCCGACAAACAGGGATGAAATTAAAACGGTTATAAAAACCATTAAAAAACAAAACTCCTCAGGAGAAGATGAAATAACTTTGAATATCTTCGAACATCTACCTGATGAAGCACTCACTGCACTCGCTGACTGTATAAATGAATCGTTTGTCTCGGGAATCTTTCCGGACAGTCTTAAACTGGCAGTAGTTATTCCTATTTTTAAAGGAGGAGACAACGAAGATCCGTCTGCGTACCGTCTAATATCTTTACTGACTACGCTATCGAAAATTATAGAAAAGATAGTGAAAGTGAGACTGGTGAGTTACTTAAAGGCCCATAATGTTCTGACACCGGATCAGTTCGGATTTCAGGAATCAAATGATGACATATTTACGTTTCTGGAGAGACTCTTTTTTGCTCTCAATAATGGTGAGAAAGCTGCAGCAGTGTTTTGTGACTTTTCAAAAGCTTTTGACTGTGTTAATCACGAAATACTGCTGCGGAAAATGAGCCACTACGGAGTCAGGGGAACGGAGTTAAGCTGGTTTAGAGCATACCTTTCGGATAGATCCCAGCTAATAAGAATTCATAGTAAGGAAAATTCAAAGACGCTAAATTTAACCCATGGGGTTCCTCAAGGGTCAGTTCTTGGGCCGGTTCTCTTTTTAATTTACATTAACGACCTGGCAGCACTGTCAATTCTGAGAGCTTTTGTAATTTTTGCAGACGATACAACCATACTTTGGCAACACAAAGACGTGACAATTCTTAACACGATTATTGAAAAAGACTTGGAACAAATCAAGGGGTGGTGTGACGCAAATCGCTTGGTTTTCAACATATCTAAACAAATATACTATCATTCAAATGCATTCTTAATGAAATCACACTTGACCAGAAGCTGGTAGAAGATAGAACTGTTGTAAAATTTCTTGGTATGCACATAGATTCGAGACTTAAATTTGACACTCATTTTCGACACAGGCAGCTGCTGAATCAGTGATTATCTGTCAGAAACGAGCTCTGCGTTATTTGTGTAGGGTAAATCGTCGGGAAAGCTGTAGGCCTCTTTTCAAGCAGGAGCAGATACTGACTGTTTCCTGTATTTTCATCTTGGAAGTGGCCAGTTTAATATTCAAAAAATTTCGAGAATATTCTAGACCAGAACTTTACAACTTGAGAAACTACAATTTGCCATTGCCAATCCCAAAGCTAAGCCTGACCAAGCACTCAATTATATATGAAGGTATAAAAATATGCAATAATCTTCCTCAGGAAACAAGGTATATTAGAGAGTACAGAGCATTTCGTACTAGTGTGAAAAATTTCCTGATAACAAAAACATTTTACAGCCTTCAAGAATATTACGGCCAAAATTAGTGTGGCTGTTTACTGCGTGTTTTCAATTGTGGGTAGGTACTTTTCAAAAGCCTAATTGTTTTTGGTTGTTTTATTTGTTGATTTTATTCTGTTTTGTTTATTTTTTGAGACATTTTTCAGTTTTTTAGTATTATATTACTCTGCTGCTTTCAGCTTTGACCTTTTTAACCTTTTTAACTTTTTAAACTTTTTATTTTTTCTATTTTATTGCAATAGTTACTAAGCCCTAATATATCTTTTAGTGATTTATTTGTTTTTATACTAAAATTGTCATTACCTAGGGGGTTACCGATGTTGCCGATGTTGTTCTATTGATAATAACTAGTTTAATAGTAGATATACTTTTTTATGTAGATATTTTATAACTGTTTGTTTCTTCTTTTGTGTATTAAGTATTTCTGTCTCTTTACATATTTTAATCGTGACATATAAAAAAATTTTGTGTGTTTAATTTAGGTCTTTTAAAATTAAATATGTAGCAGACATATTGTTTATATTTAGTTATT